TATATATATATATATATATATATATATATATATATATTTGGTTGTATGGATATGAGTTTGTAACCTTGGGTTTCAAGCTTCGGCGATCATTAGACTAACTTTAGATAGATAGATAGATAGATAGATAGATAGATAGATAGATAGATAGATAGATAGATAGATAGATAGATAGATACGAACAGACTGAGATAGATAGATAGATAGATAGATAGATAGATAGATAGATAGATAGATAGATTATGGGAATGTGACATAGATAGATAGATAGATAGATAGATAGATAGATAGATAGATACGAACAGACTGAGATAGATAGATAGATAGATAGATAGATAGATAGATAGATAGATAGATAGATACGAACAGACTGAGATAGATAGATAGATAGATAGATAGATAGATAGATAGATAGATAGATTATGGTATGTGACATAGATAGATAGATAGATAGATAGATAGATAGATAGATAGATAGATAGATAGATATGAATAGACATATAGATAAATATGAAAAGAATGAGACAGAAGAGTTTATCTGATGATCGCAGAAGCGTGAATCCCAGGGTTACAAACTCATACCCACACATCTAAATATGTTAGCTCTATCACTGATATTGAGCGCTTTCCAGTAGGTACCGCGCATATATAATATATATAGAAATGTTATATATATGCATATTTAAATTACATGATTCAGCAGCGCATCAAACTATCAACACTTGGAATTATAAATGTAGCCTTGTGAAAAGGCACATTGAAATAGCCAGTCCGTGTATTGGCTAATATATTGTAATGTAATTGTCATCATTGATAATGTCTTATGTAAGATAGATAGGATTAAAAAATATGTATCAATATTGTGATTTTCTTTAAAAGAATTAACATAAAATAAATAGACAAAACTTGTCTATATTATTTAATGAAACATGAATCATATATATATATATATATATATATATATATATATATATATATATATATACATGTAAAAAAAAAATAGGCAAGAACACGTTAGGTAAATAATCCGGGGTTCTTTAGTATTTTTTGTTTTTTATTTAAAAAAAAAAAAAAAACACTGCTCCATACAGAAGTAGAGCTTAAATTATAATTACTTTTTTAAAAAAATATAATTCCATCGCTACATAAGAGTTGTCATGTTTCAAAAACAAGAGCCAAAAACCTCAATATAATTATTAAAATTAAATTGAATTAAAGTATCAAACCCTATTTCATCCTCAAGCAGAAATTTAGGAATAACCAGTCTTGAAATTTACGCATCTTTATAAGCATATTCATTCGCAAAATTAATTACGGCTGGGGGGATCATTTTGATAAGGGGCCTAAGAGTTAATTTTTATCCACATATCAGTCACCTTCTGAAAGAGATCAAGCCGAGGTAGGGTGGGGTATCCGTTTCAAGGCCAATGATGGCATTCATGTACGCACATCGTCTGGTCAGTCACAGCGAAAGATAGCTTTTGGCACCATAATATGTCGTTAAGTGTCTTGAGAATTTTGTTTTATTTTATTTTATTTATTTATTTATTAAGGGCTGTTTCATACATAAACGCGTCGCACCGAACTATAATTTGTTTTTTTTTATGACTTCATAGAGGGTTTTTCTATCTTATGATTGGGCTAAGCTTTTAAGCCTTTTATTAGACTATGAATTTTTTATGTTAATTATTTAATGCGAAAATTTGTTGATGTCGGCAAAAAACCGTTAACTCATATCGATGGTTTAACAAATTTTCATTATTTAGAAACTTAATGTGTAGTTTTTATGTAGACATAAAAAATATAATATAAATGAATGAATGAATAAATAAATAGATAAAATAAAATAAAATAAAAATTCTCTAGACACTTAACAACATATTATGGTGCCAAAAGCTATCTTTCACTGTGACTGACCAGACGATGTGCGTAAATGAATGCCATCATTCGCTTTGAAATTGACACCCCAGCCCTGCCTCAGCTTCACCTCTTTCCGAAGGTGACTGATATGTTGATACAAATTGTTAACTCTTATGCTCCTTATTGAAATGGTCGCCCCAGCCGTTTCCATAGTAATTAATTTTGCGAATGAACATGCTTAAATCTCAAGATTGGTTATTCTTGAATTTTCGCTTGAGGATGAAACAGGGCTTGATACTTTAATTCGATTTAATTTTAATAATTATATTGAGGGTTTGCACTCTCGTTTTTGAAACATGAGAACTCTTATGTAAGGAAGGAATCATATTTTTTAAAATAATTATAATATATATATATATATATATATATATATATATATATATATATATATATATATATATATATATATATATATCAGGCCATCCCATAAGTTCTGTCCAATTTTGAATAAAGAAAACAAGTGACCAAATGCTACATTTAATTACAGATTCAATCAACAATGTATTTTTCCTGATTATCTATGACTTCCTTCCATCTATTAACAAGCTTTAATTCCATTACTGTAAAATTCTTTTGGCTTAGATTCGAAGAACTCACAAATGTCAGTTTTAACCTCTTCCTGTGTTACAAAAAGCTGTTTCTTCTAAATGATTCTGTAAGCTACGAAACAAATGGTAGTCTGGAGGAGCAAGATCGGCAGAATAAGGTGGATGAGGAATTTTCTCCCAACCAAGTTCTTCGACCTTTTGTGACGTGATTCTTGCTGTGTGGGGTTGCGCATTGTCCTGATGAAACATCACCTCTTTTCAATTCACTGGAGCAGATCGTTTTTTCCTCAAAGTTTGGTTCAAACGCTCTAATTGCTGACAGTATATTTGAGCATTAATTGTTGCATTAGGTGGTAAGAATTCAAAGTGGATTATTCCTTGGCGATACCACCAGATTGAAAGAAGAACCTTTTGCCCATGAAGTTCCCTTCTCGGCTGTGGCTGGGGTCCTTCCCCTTTACCAAGCCGCTGTCTACGACGCTTAACACTTCAATAAAAGATCCATTTTTCGTCGCCAATCACATGTCTTTCCAAAAAAGGTGAAACAATTTGGCGAGAATGGAGAGAAGAGCAGATCTCAACTCGGGATTTGAGGTTGTTTTCAGACAATTCATGAGGCACCCATTTTCTAAGTTTAGGAACTTTTTCAAGTTGTTGAAGATGACGATGAACAGTTGTATGGTTTGAACTGAGATCCACTGCCAATTCCTCAACTGATAAAGCAGGATTTTCTTCAAGGGCTGCTTCAAGAAGCTTTACATCAAACTCAACTGGACGTCCGGTTTGATCTTCATCTTCAATGGTGAAATCTCCACCTCTGAATTTTGCAAACCATCTTCTGCAAGTTCTTTCATTCACACATTCCTCTCCATAAACTGAGTGAATGTTTCTAGCCGCTTCGGCTGCTGAGTTTCCTTTCTTGAACTCATAAAGTGTTATGTGCCTCAAATGATTCTTGGGTACTTTCATGTTAGCAGGATTTTAATCAAACAAAATTTAATTTTATTGTTCTCTGAAATAAAATTTGATCATTTTAAATGCATCTAAACATAAAAATAATGTTCAGCTTCATTAGACATTATAAAATACTCTTTAAATTTCGTTCATTTTAACAAAAAGGGAAAATTCGGACAAAACTTATGGGATGATCTGATATATTGTGTGTGTGTGTGTGTGTTTATTTATAAGCGAGAGAGAAAGACAGAGAAAGAAAGGAATAGAATTAATTTACTGTTGTTCCTGCAACTTCCATTATCTGTCTAAATTTGTAATTATAATATTTTCTGGAATAAATCTTATAAAACTAAACATCCGTTCCTGCCATGTCATGTCGTAAGTAATCGTCTTATAGTGCAGCGAAAAATAAGGGCTTTTTTTTTCACATTGGGCTCTTTCTCTAAGTCTACCACTAGGCAATTCTGAATTTCTGCGACTTACGACTTTAGCAGCCATACTTTCAAAATAAACAAAAGCAACTCCACCAAATAATAGAAAAATCCCCAACACAATTTAATAGTACCAGACTCTCAAACATGACTCCATTTAATACTGGCATTTAAATATCTGGGAACTGTTTTAACAGAGGGCTGATGTGCCACACTGAAATCCTAAGATGCTTTACAGAAGCTAAACATAAAATTAAGAAACAGGAAACATTTCCTTAAAAACAAAACAGAGTACTGAGCTATTACGTAATATCAGTTCTATATGGCAGTGAAGGCGAAACAATCTCCTAACAGATGAAGAGGAGACTTAAAGTAACAGAAATATGGTTCTACATCTAGAGACAATGGAAACAAAATGGACACTTATTCTTAACATCTGAAAATGACAGCTGAAATTTCTGGGGCACATGATGAGAAAAGAAGGCTTGGAAAATCTGATGCTTACAGGACAGATTGAAGGAAAGAGGGACAGAGTAAAAACAACGCATAGCTTAGTGAACTGGAGAAAATGCATGGCGGAACAGGGTTGAGGAGAAATAACAAAAAGACAAAATTTATTAAGAGCTACAAAGGACAGGTAGATGTGGAGAGCCATGACCGCTTACTTCCTGAAGAGGCATGGCACACAGATGAAGAAGAATGAAATTTAAAGAAACACTAGGTTACAAAACAAAACTAAATGCAATACAGAAATGGTGGCAGCTAATTCTTCGTTTGGACTCGACCATAGTGCAGATTACTTGCAGCTATCAAAGTGATTATGAATAGGAGCTTATCAGTCTTATTACTCGGAACTTTCATGTCACGCACCCTGCACAGGGAACATAGAGCGATCTGCGCCACACGGGCGTCTAAGTGAAAGATGAGGTTGATCCTCAGTTCTGTTCTTCACGTAATTCTGTTTAGCATCGGGGCGGGATGGGTGAATTTGGTTGATGTTTAAAACTGAAAAGTGAGTTCGATTCTCACTAACAGAAACAAAGCAGCAGGTTTTTGCCTAACTAATCTAACCATTGTTTATAAAGAAACAACCCTGTTACCACGATCATAACGCATAAAAAGAAACAATTATACTGTGGTAAATAGCTAGCTAGCTAGATAGATAGATAGATAGATAGATATGAATAGAATGAGATAGATAGATAGATAGATAGATAGATAGATAGATAGATAGATAGATATGAATAGAATCAGATAGATAGATATGAATAGAGATAGATAGATATGAATAAAATGAGCTAGATAGATATGAATAGAAAGCGATAGATAGATAGATAGATAGATAGATTGATAGATAGATATGAATAGAATGAGATAGATAGATAGATAGATAGATGGATGAATAGATCAGATAGATAGATATGAAAGAGATAGATAGATATGAATAAAATGAGCTAGATAGATATGAATAGAAAGCGATAGATAGATAGATAGATAGATAGATAGATAGATAGATATGAATAGAATGAGATAGATAGATAGATAGATAGATAGATATGAATAGAATCAGATAGATAGATATGAATAGAGATAGATAGATATGAATAAAATGAGCTAGATAGATATGAATAGAAAGCGATAGATAGATAGATAGATAGATAGATAGATAGATAGATAGATAGATATGAATAGAATGAGATAGATAGATAGATAGATAGATAGATATAGAATAGATAGATAGATAGTGAATAGAGATAGATAGATATGAATAAAATGAGCTAGATAGATATGAATAGAAAGCGATAGATAGATAGATAGATAGATAGATAGATAGATATGAATAGAATGAGATAGATAGATAGATAGATAGATAGATAGATAGATAGATATGAATAGAATCAGATAGATAGATATGAATAGAGATAGATAGATATGAATAAAATGAGCTAGATAGATATGAATAGAAAGCGATAGATAGATAGATAGATAGATAGATAGATACGAATAGAAAGAGATAGATTTTCTTTAAGCATTACGCCCCGAGCAAGGCGTGAAGCCACTAGGATGCAGGGGGTTGCAGGAGATTTGGAGCGAGAGCGGATAGGAGTGATAAAAGAAAGGATGAGGAGAAGGATAGTGGGTAGATCAAGGTAACTGGAGATGTCGATTGACATTACATTTGAATAGTTGGAGATTATAGCTCTCAGGGAAACAGTAATAGGGAAGGGTATTCCACAGGCGAGAGGTGCGAAGTATGACGCTATTGGAGTAGAAGAGACGGATACATTTAAGTTTCTACTGTGAAAGGGTGAGAGCGGGATGCCAGCCTCGTAGGGCGCTTGAATTCATGAAGTCTGGGAACCAGTGAAAGCAGTTCATCGGAGCAATTACCATGAAAGTATTTGTAAAAAAGACAGAGAGAGGCGACGGCACGTCTGTGAGAGAGTGACTGTAGACGAGATGCCAGATCAGGGCCAATTATATTACATATCCGTTACTGGATCTTGTCAAGAACTCCGAGGTAAACAGAAGGTGCACCAGACCATATATGGCAACAATACTCCATGCAAGGGCTAATGGTTGATTTGTATATTTGAAGTATCGATTCCGGGGAGAAAAATTTCCTGGCGCGGCACAGAGACAACTTTCCTCGCGGTGGACGAAGCAATGGACTCAATGTATTTGTTCTATCTCAGGTCAACAGTCAACGTGAGACCGAGCAGACGCAGGGAGTTGCTCTCCAAGAAGTTGACTATCAGACATTCTAATAGGGGGGTAGGCAGGGATCTCTATGGTGATTAATAGAGATTAGTTTAGTTTTTTGAGGCGTTAAAGTTGACCAGACAATTCTTGCCCCAATTAACAACCGATTGGAGGTCCATTTCAAGACGAGCGGCCAGGTTAGTTTTGTTAGCGACACTAGATTTGTTTTTGAGGCAGGAGTAAATTGTAGTGTCGTCCGCGTAGAAGCCAACATGAATAGATAGATAGATAGATAGATAGATAGATAGATAGATAGATAGATAGATAGATAGATATGAACAGACCGGGAGAGATAGGTAGGCATGCAGAGAGAGATGTGTTATTCAACTTTCTTGATTCAAATTATTGTGGGATCGATAATGACCGAAAGACTTTAGAACGACTGGTATTATTTCGAACACAAACAAAATTTAAAATGGAAAAACAAAAGGAGACAGAAAGTTGAGAAAAAGAAGACGAAAAACAAAAACTCAACAACTTTAACGTCCATTTCATTAAGAGAAAGAGCTGGGTGAAAAAATAAAAAAATAGAAAATAAAAAACAAATACAGAACAAAGACTAATCAATAATTCAACGCACCTTCAAATAAAAAAATGTCTGACAGCGATAGGAAATTAGAACAATTTGAGATAACAAAAATAAAAAGATTTTGAAACAAAAAAAAAGACTAAAGATTGGAGTAAAAAGAAAGATTTTCTATTTTTTCCACTGGTTGCTCGGCCCACCTTTACGATTTTTTTCAGCTTGCGTCATTTCGGCGCCATCTTGAAAACGTTAAGTTATTTCTATTTGATTTTGGGAAGCACTTTCCCACCTTTAAACTAAACTTGCTTTGAACTCCTTCAGACATCTGCATAAAATGCACTGGTGGATCAGTAATGCGTTTTCTTACTATTTTAACCGTTAATTCTCTTCCTTTTTATCTATTTTTTAATCTTCAAATTTTGATTGGTTTCTTCTTAATATTTTAAGATTCTCTAAGCAAGAATCTGCCACTTCTTTTCTCTCTTTAGCTTTGCTATTGTTATAACTTCTGGCAAAATAGCTTAGAACACCTACGGTTAAAATATTGAGTCGAATTATCATTGACATGTAGTTGGTGATTTCTATATCTGCGTTGCCAACCTCACAGTATCATATGAGCACATCAATAAAGACTTCCGCTTCTCATCCATTAGAAACCGCATTACAGGCTCCGGAATCCACTGAATGCATCGAACTAGAGAAACTCTATCGATCTACAGAATCTTACATATTTAGCGAGAACCCGAATACAGAAACATTTAAGTCTTCATAACGATACGACAAGGAGGAAATGAGAATTCCAGTCTATTTAATCTCTTCCTACACTATGCTACGCACATATACACATGTGATGATACGGTCCCTGAGCATTTAAACATTCTATACGTAACCCAAAAGAGTCTTCCAATAGAAGACAACGGTCATACTTTCACACCTGAGGCCAATGTACTGATGCTGAGTAAGGTGCTATGCTGATATCGTAGGTGTTCATAGTTGGGATAAGGATGAACAGAAAATCGGTATTCCTTATAAAATTTTCCAAGAAATGGAATTCAAGATAAACATTTTCCAAAAGAGAAATTATGATCTGGAATTGGAATGAAAGCAATGAAGGTACCTATCCTGAAGTCTTCATAAAAATACAGGATGTGAAACTAGTAAATACCTCAGATACATCGGCGTATGGATCAGCCAACACTTCGGCGTATGGATCATGCAACAACTCGGCGCATAGATCAGCCAATCCCACGGCGTATGAATAACCCAAACCCCTCGGCGTATGAATCACCCACCACATCCTTGTATGGATCACGCAACAACTCGGCGCTTAAATCAGCCAACCCCACGGCGTATGAATAACCCAAACACCTCGGCGTATGAATCAACCCCAGACTCGGTGTATAGATCACGCAACAACTCGGCGCTTAGATCAGCCAACCCCACGGCGTATGAATAACACAAACAACTCTGCGTATGAATCACCAACACCTCGGTGTCTGGATCCCACAACACAACGGCGCTGATATCAGCCAACCCCACGGCGTAAGAATCACCCAGCACCATGGCGCATAGATCAGCCAACCCCACCTCTTATGGATAACCCAAACAACGGCGTATGAATCACCCACCACCGCGGCGTATGGATCACGCAACACCTCGGCGCTTACATTAGCCAACCCCACGGCGCATGGATAACCCAAGCAACTCGGCGTATGAATCACCCACCACAGCGGTGTATGGATCATGCAACATCTCGGCGCTTAGATCAGCCAACCCCACGGCGTAAGAATAACAAAAACACCTCGGCGTATGAATCACCCACCACCTCGGTGTATGGATCACGGAAAAACTCAGCGCTTAGATCAGTGAACCCTATGGCGTATGGATAACCCAAACAACTCAGCGTATAATTCACCCACCACATCGGTGTCTCGATCACGCTACACCTTGGCGCTTAGATCAGCCAAACACCTCGGCGCATGAATCACCCAACACTTCAGTGTATGGATCAAGCAAAAACTCGGCGCTTACAACAGCCAACGCCACGGCGTATGTATAATCCAAACACCTCGGCGTGTGAATCACCCACCAGCTCGATGTAGGGATCCAACATCACGGCGTATAGATAGCCAAAACGCACCCAAATCACTGGCGTATGAATCACCCAACACCTCTGTGTATGGATCACGCAACACCTTTGATCAGCCAACCCATGGCGTATGGATAACCCTAACACATAGGCGTATGAATCATCCAATACCTCGGTGTCTGGATCACGCACCACCTCGGCGCTTAGATCAGCCAACTCGGCGTATGGATAACCGAAACCCTCGGTGTATGAATCCCCAACACGGTGTATGGATCACCCAACACATCGGCGCTTAGATCAGCCAACCCACGACGTATGGGTAACCGAAACCTCGGCGTATGAATCACCCAACACATCGGTCCAGAACAGCCAACCCTACGGCGTATGGATTACCGAAACCTCTAGCGTATGAATCGAGTCTGGATGACGCAACACCTCTTCACTTAGATCCGCCAAACGAAAGGCGTATGGATAACCCAAACACCTAGGCGTATGAATCACCCACCCCATCGGTGTGGATCACGCAACACCTTGGTGTATGGATAACCGAAACCCTCGGCGTATGAATCACCCAAATCACTCGGCGTATGAATCACCTCATGGACATGGATCAGTGGCGTATGGATAACCCTAACACCTAGGCGTATGTCACGGTGTCTGGATCACGCACCACCTCAGCGCTTAGATCAGCCAACCCCTCAGTGTATGGATAACCGAAACCCTCGGTGTATGGATCACCTAACACCTCGGTGTATGGATCACCCAACACATCGGCGCTTAGATCAGCCAACCCCACGACGTATGGGTAACCGAACCCCCCTCAGCGTATGAATATCGGTCCTTAGAACAGCCAACCCTACGGCATGGATTACGAAACCTCTCAGCGTATGAATCACCCGGAGTCTGGATGAAACACCTTCTTAGATCCGCCAAACGAAAGGTGTATGAATCAAACACGTAGGCAACCCACCCCTCGGTGTGGATCACGCAACACCTTGGTGTATGGATCGAAACCCTCGGCGTATGAAACCCAAATCACTCGGCGTATGCAAAATCACTCGGCGTATGAATCACCCAACACCCTGTGTATGGATCCCAACACGACGCTTGGATCAGCCAACCCTATGGCGTATGGAAACCCTAACACAGGCGTATGAATCATCCAACACTTCGGTGTCTGGATCACGCACCACCTCAGCGCTTAGATCAGCCAACCCCACGACGTATGGGTAACCGAAACCCTCGGCGTATGAACATCGGTCCTTAGAACAGCCAACCCTACGGCGTATGGATTACCGAAACCTCTCAGCGTATGAATTACCCCGGAGTCTGGATGAAACCTCTTCACTTAGATCCGCCAAACGAAAGGCGTATGGATAACCCAAACACCTAGGCGTATGAATCCCACCCCCCTCGGTGTTCGGATCACCAACACCTTGGTGTATGGACGGCGTATGAATAAAATCACTCGGCGTATGAATCACATCGGCTTATGAATCACCTCTCTGTGTACAACACCGACGGATCAGTATGGCGTATGGATAACCCCTAACACCTAGGCGTATGAATCATCCAATACCGGTGTCGGATCACGCACCACCAGCGCTTAGATCAGCCAACCCCACGACGTATGGGTAACCGAAACCCCTCGGCGATGAATCACCCAACACATCGGTCCTTAGAACAGCCAACCCTACGGCGTATGGATTACCGAACCCTCTCAGCGTATGAATCACCCAACATGGAGTCTGGATGACGCAACAACACCAAACGAAAGGCGCTTGGATAACCCAAACACCAGGCGTATGAATCACCCACCCCTCGGTGTTCGATCACGCAACACCTTGGTGTATGGATAACCGAAACCCCCGGCGTATGAATCACCCAAATACTCGGCGTATGAATCACCCAACACCTCTGTGTATGGATCACGCAACACCTCGGCGCTTGATCAGCCAACCCGGCGGCGTATGGATAATAACACCTAGGCGTATGAATCATCCAATACCTCGGTGTCTGGATCACGCACCACCTCAGCGCTTAGATCAGCCAACCCCTCAGTGTATGGATAACCGAAACCCCTCGGTGTATGGATCACCTAACACCTCGGTGTATGGATCACCCAACACATCGGCGCTTAGATCAGCCAACCCCACGACGTATGGGTAACCGAAACCCCTCGGCGTATGAATCACCCAACACATCGGTCCTTAGAACAGCCAACCCTACGGCATATGGATTACCGAAACCTCTCAGCGTATGAATCACCCAACACCTCGGAGTCTGGATGACGCAACACCTCTTCACTTAGATCAAACGAAAGCGTATGGATAACCCAAACACCTAGGCGTATGAATCACCCACCCCTCGGTGTCTGGATCACGCAACACCTTGGTGTATGGAAACCGAAACCCTCGGCGTATGAATCACCCAAATCACCGGCGTATGAATCACCCAAATCACCGGCGTATGAATCACCCAACACCTTGGTGTATGGATCACGCAACACCGACGCTTGGATCAGCCAACCCTATGGCGTATGGATAACCCTCAACACCTAGGCGTATGAATCATCCAAACCTCTCACGCAACACCTGGTGTATGGATAACCGAAACCCTCGGCGTATGAATCACCCAAATCACTCGGCGGCGAATCACCCAACACCTCTGTGTATGGATCACGCAACAC